TTTAGCTCGATTTGATTTTGCAGGTACTAGTCTCGGATCAACAAGTTTGGTGGATGCGAGGTAGTGAACCGGAGGACCGAAATCCACGCATCAACAAAAACAATTAAAAAATAAATAAAAAGACAAATTGAAGAGATCTTTCATAAAAGAGTGAAGACGAGGAATAGTAAAATCAACTTTAAAATCTAAAAGAAGATAGCGGAAGAAAATTATAATTCAACAATAGATTTTAAAGGCAAAGGAAAAGGGATTTTATTTTAGTTCTTTTTGGGTACAGGAAAAGGGAGGAGCTGCAATTCTCCTTTAAGTTGACTTTTAAGTCAAGGGTTTCATATGAAGAAAAGATTTTATAATTATTAAAAGAAGTATTATAGTCTAAAGGTTTATTTATTTACTAACTTTTTTCTAAAGATAAAATAAAGAATGATTTTCTAGAATGAGTTGAAAACTACCATATTTGCATAGAAATGTAATATATGAACTGGAGTGATATTTTGAATTTTAAATGTAGAATCTAATCTAATATAATTAGATAAAGAGATTAAGTAGACATGGGTGGAGGAAGAGGACGGACAAGAAACACCTTTGAAATTTTTTTTCCCTCCCACAGTCACTGTTTTAGTCTGTTTTGCCATCATTTTTTTAAATTTATATATGTCTATAATTTTAAGATAATAAGAGACCTAAAGCCAAATTTGCTATAATGGACCTCAATAGATTATACATTAAATTACTACCTCAGTCCCTATAGTTTTGGTATAAAAATTTTAGAAGTTTCAATTTAATCCAAAATCAACCTATCCATTTTCTTCTTTTTTTTTTTTAATCAACATTGAATGTTAGATATTTCCAATTAACACAACTAGTCTTATATAGAAGACTTCATCACATTATCATGTGAAAGAAAAACCTACTAATTAATGACTTTAATTAAAGATTAATCTCAAAGGAGTTTGGCAAATCAAAGTTGATTTGGGTCGAATTCCATCCTAAATCTTCGAGAAAAATGATGAAAATGGCCCGATAAAATTAGTCATTATGTTTGAAAATAGTGATTTTGTTTTAAATAAATGAAAATCTTGTAGTAGAGGAGATGGTCGATGTCTCAACTTTTAACTAGTTTAGCTAGCATATCTAAAAAATGTTGAGCTAGGTTGAAACATATCCATTAAATAAAATTTACTTGGTAGTAAAAATGTACGAATATAATACGTCAAAGTTATTCATAAATGAAAATCATATTAATTCATCATATATTTCATACATATCTCATGGTAAAACTCATTTATGATCCATGATTTTGAATAGTTGAAGAGCATTATTTAAATAGTAKGCTTCGAATCTTCTTAATAGATACACACACTTCTTTCATTTCGGGCCTTTCATTCGGTAGCTCACTTGCACATCTTAATCCCGTAATTAAAATAGAAACCAAATAATCTATCACGTTGATTTGAAAAGAAAGTTCTTTCAATCGTTCATCCAAAATATCAATCACCATATTTGGAATGGCAACTTCCACCCATCTTTGAAGGTTCATTTCTCTATTGAATATCTCCTCTACTGGACTTCTTCCGGTGAACATTTCAAGAAGAAGAATTCCATAACTATAAACATCTCCTTTCGTCGACACTCCAACACCAAATGCATACTCTAAACGAAAATAGAAGGTTAACTCGTAACTCTAACATTTTGGTCCTTATATTAATATCTAGGTTAAAATATAAGTTTGGTCGTTATAATTTCAGCTTTGATTCATTTTGGTTTTTACATTTTTAAAACGTTCGTTTTAGTATTTATACTTTCAAACTTTGGTTTATTTTAATCTTCGTACTTTTAAAATGTTTATTTTAGTTCTTGTACTCTAAAAAAGTGACCATTTTGGTCTATTTATAATTTCATTTTTCCTATCATAATTTCAACACGATATTAAAACAATATATTTATTAAAATGTAAACATTATATTATAACAAAGAATTTTTGTTAGGTGTAAAATTTGAGTTAAAGTTTTACAAAGACGAATTAAAATTATAATTTTTTTAATAGTATAGAAACTAAAATGAACATTTTCAAAATACATGACTAAAATGAACTAAAGGACTAAAAATATTATTTTAACCTAATATTTAAAAAGTCGTTGAGTTATAAGTTTGTCCATGAATTTTGTATGACGAACTTACGTGACAAATTAATTAGACTAAAAAAATGATGATTTGTAACTTAAACCAAAATATAAGGACATGTAATGAAATATTACCTGGTGCAATGTAGCCGATGGATCCTTTGAGCCCACTGGCGCTGCTCTGCGTATGGCTTATAGAATCTCCTTGAACTTGAAGCAGCCTTGAGAGCCCAAAATCTGCAACATGGGCCGTCATTTCTTCATCCAGAAGAACATTGCTTGGCTTAAGATCGCAGTGAACCACAGGAGTTTCCAGTCCATGGTGAAGATACTCCATTGCAGCCGCAACATCTAAAGCTATATCGATTCTCTGTTTCAGAGTCAGCCAACGATCTGATCTGCTGTCGTTTCCTCTTCTGTGAAGCCAAGTTTCTAAGTTTCCGTTCGGCATAAATTCCAAAACTAATGCCTTGAAATCCAGATTGGAACAGACGCTGAGGATCTTTACGAGGTTTCGATGCCTTGTGTTTCTGAAGACTTCACATTCGGTAAGGAATCCCTTTATTCCACTACGATGATCTAAGTCGATTACTTTAATGGCAACCGGAGTTTCACCTCTGATTACACCTTTGTAAACGGATCCAAAGCTCCCCTTTCCGATCAAATTTTCGTCGCTGAAATCCCTTGTGGCATGTTTCAGCTCATAGTAGGAATAGGAATGTAGTCTATGATCAGGATCTTCAAATGAAATCTCGTCATGTCGTTTCTTTTTCTTCGAACGCAATGTTGAGACAAAACACAATGCAATTGCAATGCATAGGCCAATTGCTCCTCCAACAACCCCTGCGATTAATTTCCAATTTTTTTTCTTGTCAGTAGGACATTTTGGTAGTCCAAGTTCAACTATGCCGCCGCAGAGCTCGGGGTTATGGGATAAAAACACGGCTGATTTGTTGAGGAAGATGCCGCTTTTGGGTACTTCTCCTTGTAAATTATTGGAAGAGAGGTTCAGGTATTGGAGATATCGAAGGTCATCAAGGGAAGGAATTTTTGCAGACAACAGGTTTGATGAAAGGTCTATGTGTTCTAACCCTTTCAGCTGGGCTAATGAACTAGGAATTGGGCCTTGGAAGGAATTTGTAGACATATTCAAATCATAAAGATTCAGGCAATCTTGTATTGTGGATGGAATGGGCCCTGAAAATTGATTCCTCGAGACATCCAAGGTTTCAACCATCTTCAACCTCCCAATTTCAGAAGGCAAATAACCTGTGAATTCGTTTGATGAAACATTCAAACGTATTAAACCTGTCAAGATGAACAGTTCTTTTGGTATGTAGCCGGTGAACCCATTTCCTCCGAGATCCAAATAGACCAAACGGCCACAGTTGGAGAGGCTCCTTGGGATTTCTCCACTAAGGTTGTTTCCTTGGAGTGCCAACCAAACGATTTTGGTTAGATTTCCAAGAGCTGCTGGCATGGAACCAGAGAGAAAATTGTTGTTCAGAATTAAACCCTCCAAGTTTCTGAGGTTCCCCAACGAAGAAGGGATCTTCCCGGTTAAGAAATTCGATTCGAATTGAATCATGCCCAGATTCCCCAAGTTTCCTATTTCTTCTGGAATTGCTCCATCCAGCTGATTCTCTGCCATGTATAATCCATAAACCTGGCTCGAGAGGTTTCCAATTGAGGAAGGTAATTGACCCGTCAATTGGTTTTTGGAAACGCTAAATACCTGCAAAAAAGTTGAATTTGTTAATGATGTGATGAAATCCAATCCTCCATCCTCAATTCCACTCGTCAAATTGTTATCTTCAAGATTCAGATGTCGGATCTTCCCAAGCTTCCATAATGGCGGAATTCTTCCTGAAAACTGGTTGGATGGCAGGTCAAGCTCTTCAAGCTCTGAAGCATTGGACAGAGATGAAGGTATGAAACCGTGAAACCTATTACCCGCCATTAGAGCATACGCAAGATTTGGAAATGCAGTGAAAAACTCTGAAGGAAGGGTCCCGGAAATCTTATTAGCAGCAATGTTTAATCTAACAATGGAAGAAACATTCAAGATTTGAGTGGGGAATTCGCCGGAGATGTTATTGATTCCGATTTGCAGAGCCTGAAGACGACGGAGACGACCCAACTCCGGCGGGATCGAACCTCCTATGTTATTTTCCCTCAAACGCAGATTGTTGAGAGAAGAAAGGTTGCCGAATGAAGAAGGTATCTCCCCGGAAATTTCGTTGTCGTCGAAATTCAGATATCGAAGCTTCGACAATTGGCCAATTTCAGATGGGATTTTCCCGTGAAAGCTGTTGCGAGAGAAATTAATGACACGGAGGTTCAAACAACTGCTTAAAGATGGGGGGATGAGTCCATGAATGTTGTTGAAGGATAAGTCGAGAAGTTTTAGCCGGAAAAGGCGGTGAAGGTCGGCCGGAATCTCGCCGGAGAAGGTGTTGTTGCGAAGGTCGAGAATTTGAAGGAAAGAGAGGTTGGCGAGAAGTGGAGAAATGGTTCCGGCGAGGGAAGAGTGTGCGAGCCGAAGGGCGAGGACTCGATGCTTGATGGGATTGCAGAGGACTCCATGCCAGTTGCAGAAGGAGGAATTTGGATTCCAAGAATCTAGAATTCCATTTGGGTCACTTGTGAGAGAGGATTTGAAGTTCAAGAGAGCATCTTGATCGGTTGAATTGTCGAAATGAGGATGGTGAGATTGAGAATGGTGAAGAAAGTTGAAGTGAGTTACAAGGACAAGAAGAACAGAAAATAGTTTCATTGGATGGAAAACAGAACAATAAGAAAACAATGGAGTGGAGTGATGTGGCAAAAGAAGCATTAATTTAATACCCTTATATACATCATTAAAAGTCCGGTCCTTGTAATATGAATCCAAGTTCCAATTCTTCGTCTACAATTCACACCACCGTGTTTTGAGTCAATTTGCCCCAAAAAGTGAGCTTAAATCTCTGGGATAAAGTATAAGTCTTTACTGTTGAGTTGGGTTAACTTGATTGTTGATGTATCTTCTATAAAATTGAAAAAATAGTTTTTTTACCGGTTGAATGTTTGGTGAGATTTGATATTGAATTTGAGAGTTGAGGGAGACTTGACATTGACCTGCCCTCGCTAGCTTTTTCCACACCTACAAGTGCCACTTGAACATTTTTTTTTATTGTTGTAGAGATTTCAACCTACCTTAAACCTTTGCTCTTAACTTCACTTTGTTAAGGATCCTATGAATATTGGGATTTAACTTATTAAAAAGCAAATCATTACATCAATCGGTATAAAGATGGCTGCTATCATAGCCATTATAAAAGACTTCTCAAGAACTCGAGTCTAATAAGACTTGTATAAAATTAAATTTGTCCAAGGTGAAATGAAGGAAAGACTTTGACTTAGAAAGTAATGTGAAAGCGTGGCAATATTCAATTAAATAGAATTTCCAAAAAGAATGATAAGATGCCCACTTAGCAGCCAGTCAATGTACTGAAATGGACCATACTGGGAATGGGCACTAACATTTGGGCTATTGGATGAAATAAAATCAAAACTTACCTCATATTGTAACATACACTAAAATTTATCTCATTTGGGCAACGTGGAAGAAGCATTAATTAAATATGATTCCTATTCTATTGTTGAACATTCTTGAGTTCCAACACTAGTTTTTGTCTTTATTTTGCAGGTGAAGAAAAATAGAGAGTTGTGAGGAATTCTTCAAGAAATGAGAGTTTGAAAGCTCAATACTTGTGTATCCCTTAGAGAGTTTGAAAGACTTGTAGAATGACTCGTGAACATTTTCTGCAAGAGGGAAAACGAAGAGAAATCCTTGCAAAGGGAATTTACAACGGTAGGAGGCAGGAGGATGTAGCCCACATTGTGTCAACCAATATAAATTCTTTTAAGCTGTTTGAAATTTGAATTCCACTTTAATAATCTCGAATTAATTAATTAACAGATATTGTTTACTTTTGTGATAAAGATAATTATTAGTTGGTTGTTTTATTTCCCTAACATTATAAATCTATTTTGTTTGTATATTTTAAGTCAATACCAGACTAGCCAACACSATTTAAGACACCTTACTTCTTTCTTTGAGATCGTCGAATATTCAATCCCCCATCCACACGTCGTTGTACTTCAAAAAGAAAAAAAAATATCAATATCGTAATATATTTCATATATGTTAGATAGCAGAAACAAAGAGAAGATGTATACGAATGAACAGAATTATTCGATGAAAATACAACTTTTTTCACTTAACTACACTATATTCAACCAAATTGAAGCCTATTGTTCATTTTTACGTATACATCTCATGTTGTTTCTTGCGGAAGAAATGTCTTTGGAAAGTAAGACCCAAATTTTCTTCATCATTGCCAAGACATCTTTGAATTCAGGTCTTTCTTCTGGCAACTCACTCGCACATTTTAGCCCAATATTTAGTATGGAAGTTAAGTGATGTAGAACTACACTTTTAAAAGTATGTGCTTGTAATTTTTCATCTAAAATTTCAACCACAGAATCTGAAATTCCAACAGCCACCCATCTTTTCAGATCCATTTCTCCACAAAACATCTCATCCACGGGACTTCTCCCGGTTATCATTTCAAGAAGAAGAATTCCATAGCTATAAACATCTCCTTTCGTTGATATTTCAACACCCAAACCATACTCTGCGTGGAAAAAAGAAAACAAAATATCAAGTTGATAAAGAGAGAACAATTTACTAAAAAATTGCTTAATAAAAAAAACATACCCCATCCTTTTCAAAGGTTTTGATACTATCATTGGCTTTTTATAAACGTTTCAAAAAATATTCTTGGAGCAAGCATCCGTTCATTTGAATGAATGGACCATACATCATTTTTAATATATTGCCGATGTGTCAAGCAATAAATTAGAGGGAAATATGGTGCTCCCATAGTCGTACTAGTAATTTTCCCGTGTGGAACTGTCTCTACAACAAATTTGATCTTTAACGTGGTCAATTGTCAGCCTATACTTGTTTTTATGTGTGATTTTTTTTTACTGTCATTAAAGATTAAATTTATTGTAGTGCCAATTCCAGCAAGCTTCCATTCATGAAGGAAAATACTTGCTGCTTCTTAACAATATAAATTCCTCGTTATCATTAAATGTTTGACAACTAAGGTAAAGACCAACCTTTTTTTTCATATTAAAATATCAAATATTTAACAGCGAGGAAAAATATTTTGGTTGAAGATAAGTATTTTTGTTTCTTTGAAATGTTTACGAAACATCGTAGCATTGAAATTTAGTATCTTTTTAGGCAAAGGGCAAAGTTGAAGATGAGAAGATGAGAGATCATAAAAATGAAGATGGTACCTGGAGCAATGTAGCCAATAGATCCTTTTAGCCTACTGGTGATACTCTGATTATGAATTGTAGAATCGGTTTGAAGTTGAAGCAATCTTGCGAGCCCAAAATCCCCAACGTGGCCTCTCATGTCTTCATCCAGAAGAACATTGCTGGGCTTAAGATCGCAGTGAACAACAGGATTTTCCAATCCATGGTGAAGATACTCCGTTGCAACTCCAACATCTAAAGCTATTTCTAGTCTTTGCTTCAAATTCAACCAACGTTCTGATCGGCAGCCGTCTCCTCCTCTGTGAAGCCAGGTTTCCAAGTTCCCGTTTGGCATGAATTCCAGGATCAAGGCCTTGAAATCCAAACTAGAACAGGCACTGATGATCTTTAGAAGATTTCGATGCCTTACGTTTCTGAAGATTTCACACTCCGCGAGAAAACTTCTGGGCCCGCCTTGTTGATCTAAGTCGAACACTTTAATGGCAATTTCAGTTTCGTCCTCTAAAACGCCTTTATAGACAGATCCGAAGCTCCCCTTTCCGATTAAGTTCCTACTGTTGAAATTCTCTGTGGCTTGTCTCAGTTCATGATAGGAATATAGTTTATGATTAGGCCCTTCAAATGAAATCACGCTCATCGCCGATTTTTTGAGTTGTTTCCTTCTCGTGAAGCGTAATTTCAAAACAAAACTCAGAGAAATTGCAATGCTGAGACCAATTGCTCCTGTAACAACTCCGATGATCAATTTCCCAATTTTTCTCTTATCTGTTGAGCCGACGGCGCATTTTGGTAGTCCAAGTTCAACTATGCCGCCGCAAAGGCCAACGTTGTCGGATAAAAATATAGCCGACATGTTGAGGAAGATGCCACTTCTAGGTACTTCTCCTTGTAGTTTATTGGAAGAGAGGTTCAAGTATTGGAGATATGGGAGGTCATCCAGCAAAGGGATTTTTGCAGACAACCTGTTTGATGAAAGGTCCATGTATTCTATCCCTTTCAACTCGGATAAAGAACTTGGAATTGGGCCTTGGAAGGAATTTCTGGACATATCCAAATAGTGAAGATTCAGGCAATCTTGTATTGTTGATGGAATGGGTCCTGAAAATTGATTCCTTGAAACATCCAGAGTTTCAACCATCTTCATCTTCCCAATTTCATCAGGCAGAGAACCACTAAAATAGTTGGATGAAACATTAAATAGCTGTCCAAGAGTTGTGTAGGCAGAGAATATTTCCTTTGGTATGCTCCCACTCAACCCATTTGCGGAAACATCAAAAACTTTAATTCGTTTACAATTTGAAAAACTTAGAGGGATACCACCAGATAAGTTGTTCTCGTTCAGCCCAATTTCAGAGAGTGAGCTCAGATTCCCAAGAGATTCAGGAATGGAGCCAGAAAGAAAATTAGTGTACAAATACAGCGCCTGCAAGTCCCTGAGGTTTCCTAAAGATGAAGGAATTTTCCCGGTGAAGGAATTTGAATCCAGAGTAAGCACATTGAGACCACCCAGGTTGCCAATTTCTTGGGGTAAGTTTCCACTCAACTGATTTTCCGATAGATAAAGCAAATAAAGTTGTGCTGACAAGTTTCCAATGGAGGGTGGAAGCTGACCGGAAAATAAATTTGTGGTCGCCGTGAGTTCTTTTAGAAGACTCGAATTGGAGAGTGAAGTAACAAAATTCAAACCCTGGTCCCCTTCACTGGTTAAAAAATTCAACTCTACATTTATGGTTTCGATCTTTCCAAGCTGCCATAATAAAGGAACCTCCCCGGAAAATTGGTTACTTGAAAGGTCGAGTCTTTTGATGTTCGAAGCATTAGAGAGAGATTCAGGTATATGACCTCGAAGCATATTGGCCCCCATAAACACATTTTTAAGATTGGGCAATGCGTTGAAGAGATTAGGGGGAAGTTCACCGGAGATTTCGTTCATCGGAAATTCCAGAGTTGACAAGGAAGACATGTTCAGTAATGTCGCCGGAAAGCCGCCGGAGATTTTGTTATTTCCGAGGTGGAGGTACAAAAGACGATTCAAACGACCCAATTCAGATGGGATTGGTCCTTCTATGTGATTCCCTCCTAAAATAAGGGTGTGAAGAGACGAAAGATTGCCAAATGCAGATGGGATTGAACCAGAGAGTTTGTTTCCTTCAAAGCTCAGAAATTGAAGCTTCAATAAGCCGCCCAATCCAGATGGAATTGTGCCCTGAAGCTTGTTGATAGAAAGATCAATGACACGAAGCATTGAACAATGGCTTAAAGATGGTGGAATGGGTCCATGGAGGTTGTTTGAATGCAAAATGAGATTTTTCAATCGGAAAAGGCGATGGATCTCGGAGGGAATTTTCCCGGAAAATGAGTTGTTTTGCAAGTCGAGAATATGGAGGAATGAGAGGCTGGCGATTTGGGGAGAAATGGTTCCAACGAGTGAGATATTTGGAAGAGTAAGACCGGTGACTCGACGCTTTATTGGGTTGCAGAGGACGCCTCGCCAGAGGCAGAAGGAAGTGTTTGGATGCCAAGAATCTAAAGCTCTGTGTGGATCAATGGAAACTGAAGATTTGAATGAAAGCAGAGCATCTTGATCTGTGGTGCTGTTGAGGCGAGGATGGAAAGCTTGGGAATGGAGAAGAAGGTAAGAGAAGATGAAGGAGATGACAGAATTGAGAAAATGCATGACTTGGGCAGAAGTTTGTGTTTCTCTTGCCAGAAATTTGCTTGAAGAATGAGTGATGCTTTAGGACTATATAGTAAATGAGCATTTTGATCCTAGGAGTGATTATTATTTGGGTAGAAAGATTTCAATGTTTTTTTTTTTAATTTATCGGATAAACTCCTGACTTAACCAATACATGCTAGCATGAATTTAGCTTTAACAATAATTAACATCTACCTCTAATCAAAATGTTATGAATTCAAATCACCTTACTAAAACCAATTTAATTGAGACATAGTTTGAAATTTTATCGGTGACAAATGGAAAGGACAAGAAGATTATTGGAAAATTGTGAGATTTGACTGTCTATTATCACATCGTCGATATATTTTGTCAAAAATGAAATAATGGAAAAGCTTGACTTAGAAAATTATGTGGAAATATTATTTCATTCATAAAGTCTATAAAAGAATGATAAAGATAACCACTTTGGCTGACCTGGTCAATATGGTTAAACCCAAATTTTAGAAATTTATTTATACACATGTTTAATTTTGCATTTAGATTTCGGTAGGATTTTATTTTAATTCCTATTTTACCCTTATTTATTACATTTATATTTATTATAATTAATTTTTTATTTAAATACAAAAGATTAATATTCCAAATTTGATGCGGGACATAAATCAATTATTCCCATAATCCCTTAATTTACTCTTTAATATATTATACTAAAGAAAATTTATTACAAAATATTTAATTATTATGATAATCCCCAAATTTACTCCTTCATATATTCTACTAAATAATGGAATTTATTACAAAATATTTTTTCATTTCATTACAATTTCTGACCAAATTTATTTATTTATTTATATGGAGATACTTTTTCATTTATACGGAAATATAAACTATATTCGATTATAAACTTAAGCAACATACATGGTGATATAAACTATAGCCATTATAACATACAGACATTACCTATATATATGGCTATAAAGATATATACGACTATATCCCTCTCCAATTAACAAACAAAACAAATAACCTTCAAACTTTCCTGTCGGTGGATAAACGGAGGGCTTTAATTATTGACAAGCGAGTGGCAACAAAAATGAAACCTCGAGATAAACGGACGGAAACGATGGACGGGTGACCGGAGACGAAGGAGAAGCTAGACCGACTGTTCCGACGACGAAGAAGAACGGAGACGGCGGCTGGAGATGAAGAACGCAGATGGCAGCCAGAGATGAAAGAATGGATGGAAACAGACAACAGAGGAAGAAGGTTTTCAAATTTTTTCAATAATGGAAGATTTTAGGGATTTGATATTTTTTATTTTTGGAAAGTGTAATGAGACAAAATTGAAGGGATTTAAAATGTAACTTCACAAGTAACAAATTTTGGATTTTTTATTTTGAGTTAAAATTTTAAAACACATCTTTAGTCAACTCTTTAAAAATTATAGATCATGTCTTGGATGAGCTATTTGGAAACTTATTTTCACAAATGTCCAATGTTTAAAAATTCTACAGTTTTAGATTTCTTGATTTAAAACTTTTTTCAAATGTCAAATTTGCTTTTATTTATGGTATTTATATTTATTATAATTAATCTTTTATTTAAATGCAAAAGATTATCATTCCAAATTTGATTTCGTAAACACTAAATTATTGTTGGGCCTAAATCAATCATTCTCATAATTCTCCAATTTAGTCCTTAACATATTCTACTAAAGAAAATATATTATACTAAAGAATGAAATTTATTACAAAATATTCAATTATTCTCCTAATTCCCAAATTTACTCCTTAATATATTCTACTAAATAATGAAATTTATTACAAAATATTATTTCATTTCATTATAATTTTTTTGCCAAATTTCAACAATATAGCCATTATAACATACACTTATTTATTTATATATATATATATATATATATGTATATGTATGAAGATATAAACTATATCAGGCTACCTTTTCATTTATATGAAAATATAAACTATATTCGGCTAAACTTAAGCAACATATACTTAACAATGGTGATATAGACTATATCTATTATAACAACTATAAAGTATATACGACTATATCCCTTTATAATTAACAAACAAAGCAAATAACCTACATACCTCCCGGGGCGACTAGACAATGGTCGAGATAAAAGGAAGGCTCGAATGGTCGACGGGCGGCCGGTGACAAAAAAGAAACCTCAGGATAAACAGACAAAAACAATGGACGGCGACCAGAGACGAAGGAGAAGTTAGAAGGACTATTTCCAGCAACGAAGAAGAATGGAGGTGGCGGTCGGAAACGAAAGAACACAGACGGCGGCCAAAGACGAAAGAATGAACGAAAACATAACAACAAAAGAAAAATCGGAGGGAGGAGGTTTTCAAATTTTTTCAATAATAGAGGATTTTGGGATTTTGTATTTTTTACTTTTAGAGGGTCTAATCAGTCAAAATTTAAGGGATAATTTTGGATTTTAAAAATTAATTAATATTGAGGTGAGACACAGAATGATATATTAGTAAATTAAGTGATGGGTACCATCATAAATAAAATTGTTTATGACAAAAGTGTAAATTTTATATCATTCAATCCTTTTATGTAATTATAGTGTCTAAATGGCCTATCAATATATTAATCCCTTTATTTTTACCATGTCATATTTGGGAATTGGGCCCGAACATTTGGGCCATTGCCATTGGATTAAAAAACAAATCAAAACTTACCTCATATGATAACATTTTGACCCAAGTTAAAATTAAAATCTCTCTCATATCATAACATATAATAAAAGGCTTACAACTTTAATTCTATGATGCTAGCACATGTAGTCCGTCTCCATCTTTGAAAATATAATAATGGTAATAATAAAATAAATTAAAAATGGTAATTAGATGTATATGTGGACTAAAAGTTAGCTCTCATTACCTACCATTAGACAAATTTTTTTTAAACATACCTACCATCAGACAATTAAATAAACACATAATTATTTATTTATTTATTATTATTATTATTTTCTTTTTGTTAGGGAGGTGTAACACTTTCAAACAGATTGCAATCTCTAATATGGACTTCGATTGTACCCACCATTGTATTCTCACTATGGAAGACATTGCAGCACTGTCTACGTGGCGCCTGCTCAATCAATAATATTAATACTTGTTAGTAATCATATCTATCCAATATACTCGAAATAATCTAATCCTTTCCCGTGACTTATAAAACAGTTAAATGTTTTTTAACTCTTGAACTTCCCTTTCAAAATACATTAATTTGAAATAAAATTTAAAAAATATCTAAAAACTAAATCAATAGTCACTTAAAGCCCCATCAATCAAAATTTGACAATTAGATAGTCTCAAATTAAAAAAAAAAAAACCACGTAAATATTCATGGTTCGAAACTAAGATCCAAAAAACATAGAAACCGAACCTCATCAAGATACCCTAATCCAACCTAGAAAATCTAAGCCGATTAGACCTCCCTCTTCTATTTAACTACAATTTTTCACAGATAGGAAAGAGAAATGCAAAAATAGATATTTTATATTTTTTAAAAAAATAGAAAATTGATGGCTAGAAAAAGATAAGCACTTGTAAGACCTCCCATTATTGATGACTTGCATACATGTGAAAAAGAAAAAAAAAAATCTCCTTTTAAAACCAAACCAAACTTCACAAGTAACTAATACTTCCGATACCTATGTGCTATATATATTAAAAAAAAATTGACGGCTAATTATTTTTTAAAAAAGATTCTCAATTTTTACATTTTTCTCAAACATTTTTTTTTGGATAAAACATTTTTCTCAAACATTCAAGAGTATAAGATAGGTACTACCAATCAAGACTTAGAAGTATTTTCCCGTGTAAATTTCATTTAAACAACTTTTTTCTTTACCTGTCTCCAGAGACGGCGGTCGAACTCCGGGGCGGAGACGTCGAAAAACCGAACACCCAACGCCGGAACGTAATCCGACCGCTCACACTCCTTGTCAACCTCCTCAACGTATCTCCGGTACCTCGTCACCGTCCGCCGGCCGTCCAATCGGTCCGCCGCGTCCAAGAAAAACAAAATGGGTCTTTGGCACGGGTCAGAACTGACGGGTCGGGTATCGAATGCGAAGGGCTCATTGCTGGACGTCTTCCACGTTTGGAACGTGAGAAATGGCGTCTCCAGGTCCTTGGCGGTGGCGAGCCATGGATATAGCTGAACCGTGTAGCCCCACGAGACCGAAACGGACCAGTTACGAGCCGCGTCGTAGCAGAAGGTGTGCTGAAGGGCTCGACTCGGGTCCGTTTTGTAGGCGCTGTAGAGCCTCTTGAGCGAGTCGGGCTGCGACATGGCCGGGAATATGGTCTGCACGTAATCCAGGTGGTGGAGCGACACTAATGGCGCTACTGGATGGGCTGCTAATAGCCCGTATGGGTTTCCTCTAATATCCACCTGTCATTCAACCATTATTAAATTCAATTACTCAAATCTATACCAAATTATAACAACTAAATTAATAATTAACCTAATTTTTTTAATATAAATGTAGAATAAAAGTAGAGCTAAAAAATTTTATCAGAAACATAGACAACAATCTTTATAATTGTAGGAGTAAATTACAATCAAACTCGAATTATAAAGACTATATTGAAACTTTTAAAATTATAAAACCAAAATAAATTTTAAATCGAGTTGAAGGAGTAGTTTAACCAAAAAAAATTCTTATTTATATATATGTAGAATAAAAACCAGTCTAAAATATTTTTGAATTGATGGAAGAAAAAAGAACCTGGTGGAATCCAAGCTCTTTGGTGACGGAGACACCAATCTCACTCAGGCAGCCTTGAATTTTTTGGTCGGACATATCGGCATAACGATTTATGCAACCGTCTAAAATTCTGACCAGTTCTATCGCGAGCGGGTAGCTAATAGCGAATCCGGCACCACCATAAGCCATGGTGTAAGAATGAACAATGTCTTGTTCCACACTCTCAGAATTAGCTCCGATGTAGTACATTTGGTTGTGATCGTATCTACCCAATAACTCCACCAAATTCTCCGTGAAGAAGACCGTATCGTCGTCCCCCATCACGAACCATCGCACATTCTCCAACCCAAGTTCAAATGTCTCTTTGATAATCCTAGCCACCCGAATAGCAGATCGAAAACCGTACCTATTAAGAATACAAATAAAATGATTAACTCTACTATAACTTGTCAATTTAAGCTTTTAAGTCCAATAGTTATCTAATATATTTTCCAGCCAACCAACTAGTTGAAATGTCTTTTCATCTTCGATTAATATTGATAATCACCGGTTGAAAAATGATCATGCTAATTTGTAAAACCAGAGTAAAAGTTATTAAATGTGGCTAATCTTTACTAACATTCCATTTGAACCAATAATTCAGTAAAAGCATAATTCAATTAGACCGAGTCTTGTAGTGATTAAATATACGCTAATCAATTAATTTAAGTTTTTTGGTTGAATAAGAATGATTTAACATTACCAACAAGTGTAGTTGAATCTGGAGGTGTCATCGGAGATCCGGTAGGGCGGGGAGTTTTCCGGCCAGGGAAAGGCAGGTTTCTCTTCGAGCCAAACAAACCCACGAGTAACGTTCTTCTTCCACCACAGCTCGCAGTAATGGCGACGCTCGTTCCACGTCATCACGGACCCACCAATGCCGAACACGACATGGGATATATTCGTGCCACGTAATTCGCCTTCATCGGAAGAAGCCGCCTTGATTTTCCGGTGATTAGAATACCGGAGTGCGCCGTGGCAGCCGACGCAGCCGGCGGGGTTTTGGTCGGAAAAAGTTAGGTAGAAGAAGAGAGAAAACGAAGCAACGGCGGAGATAACAAAAATGGCTCTAATGAAAGGAGATAAGGCATCCTTTGGCCGTAACACCAAAACTTTCCAGCCTTGAATCGCTTCTCCGGGAAGAGACATCACATTCAATTTTGCAAAAAACAATGTGGGTTTGGAATGTGTTCATCATGTTCGTGGCACATTCAAATAGAAAAATGTTTGATTTTTTTAATTTTGTATTTTAAAACAAGCATTGCCAGAAAATTCGGCAACAAATAATTCAAATCCAAAACCCAATTGGGCTGCGAATATTGACCTTATATATATATATATATAATATTTTCTGGGTCTGTAGAGATTATTGTTGATTATTCTTTCACTTTATTTATATGGTAAATATCTTTTCCAATATGGGAACATATCCACCAAATTCTTTTTCCCAAAATGAGATTATTTTACTTTAAGTTTCTCTTAAGAATAATTTATTCGAAAGAAAATTATGTTTCAGCTTTATTATAGCTCATTATACCATTAATTTTTCATTAGTGAAAAATTTAGAGCTATGTCAAGTTTCTATATAGTAAAATCAATAGAATTTAGTGATAATTGACATGTATTCCTTCTTTCAAGATCACAAATTCGATCATTTGTATTCCTTTTGATTTTTAAACTTTCAAATTTTCTATTTAGTTCGTGAAATTTATATAAAAGAAGTTATTTTAATATGTAGTTATTTTTTCTTACAAACTAATGTCTCCCAATAAAATAAAGTACCAACTGAGTACTATGATTGATTAGGCTCTAGTTAGGATGTTAAATTTACGTCATTTTTTTTTCTCGTTTGAACTGGAATCTTGACATTTCTATCGATACTTTCATATATGTACATAAGTTGCTCGACGTCGACATTAAAAAAAATTAACATTTCTATAATATTACAAAAATTTTCACTCAAAATATATTATAAATGTGAACATAATATTAATAAGAAGAAGTTTTGAACTTATTTAAAAATGTTGAACTGATGTTTATTAATTTATATATTTCTTATCCTATTTTTATTTTGATAAATATTTTAGACGAAATATTCGTCGATATCAATATTTTGTCTATATTTTTACTTAATATTTTAAGATTGAAATTTCTAACAATATTCATCGACATCTATATTTTGGATAATTAAAACATGGTTTTCTAGCCCTTAATTAATCTATGGGGGAGTTACGGTCTCAAAGGGATTGCAGCCTCTGATATGGACATTCACCACACTATCAACTCCACCGCCATTGGTAGTTGTACCATCCACGACTTGGCAACATTGTCTACGTGGGGCCTGCCCAATGACAATAATTTTTATTTTTTAGTAAATTTACTATATTAATGAATGTAATATAGTACCCCATTAATTTTAAATTTATATATGCATCATTTTTTGAACAAAAATTTATATAAAAATGCTGAAGGAATTCTTATAACTTCCCTATTAGATTCTCAACAAAGATTAGGGTAAGTTATTATCACCATTTTGGCCCATATACATGCTTGTGTTTGGTTTGGTTTACTTCATATATTCATAATAAATACTGTATTGAATATAATTAGTCTCCAACATCAATTATTGAATGAATATATTAATGACAAATGCTTGACATGCATGGCAACACCGCCTAAAAGTAGCATAGCACTTCGGTCTCATGTATGTGTTGAAATTAAAGACTTTGAAATAACTTTATAAAAACAAAAAAGACTTTGAAATAAAATCAAACAATTATTGAAGTTTAGGGATAGAATATTAGTTACCAATAAAACAAAAGAGCGGAAATTTTTGGAAAATCCTTAACATGTCCCTCAAGATGGTGGCTCTTTTAAGCTGATTAATACTTGTCGGATATCCTTTTTTTTTTTAATGTTCGTTTGAGCCATTAACGGGATTTTAATACAATTTTAATATTTATAAATAGTTATCTCAAAATTAATTGACAAATATTCATAGGATTCTATATGATCAAAACTAATTCTCAATGAAGGGAGTAACTCGTTTATTTATAAACATTGTTAAGTCTTTTGATTTTTTGACATGAGATCCTTAGTCGGGACACTTATATCTATAAATATTTTGGTTAAATGATCAATTTGGTCTATGTTGTCTCAGCTTTATTTCTTTTTTTATTCCTATAATTATCCTTAAAGCTTTACTTTGGTATTTATAGTTTTAAAAGTTTCAATCTTCAGTCAAATCTCATGAATAATTTTAATATTGTCGTTATAATTATTATTGATATATTCTATGTGTCTAAATACTTAGTGAGATTTGACCCAAGTGATACTTTTATACCAAATTAAAATTAAGTCAAAATTATAGTTAGTTTGAAAATTTTAAAATCACAGGGACCAAATTAAAACAAGGAAAGCACACATGCCAAATTGATTATTTAACCTATATTTAATCTAAGTTATAGATGGTTGATTTAACTAATTATGTACCATATTGACTTCGTAAGTCTTTATTACCTATTTTTCTTGGCAAATGTTGATAAATCTTTTCCAACATAGAGATTTTCCATACCTTCATCCACGTGGCAGCACTCAACTGGCCAGAAGTCACCACTTGGAACCGCTCCACATCCTGCGCTGCCTGGAACTCGTCTCGGCCACACTCTCTCTCCCACACGTCAACGTGCTTCATGTAACCGGTTACTGTCTGGTTCGGACCGACGACCGGGTCCAAAAAGAAAACCAAAGGCATCTCACATGGGTCCGGGCCGACCGGTCGGGTGTTGAACGTGAACGGACCGTCGGTCCAACTCTTCCATGTCTGAAACGTCTGAAAATTCTTCTCCATTTCTTTGGGCGTGACGAGCCGCGGGTAGAGCCGGACGCTGTAGCCCCACGAGACCGAAACGGACCAGTTACGAGCCGAGTCGTAACAGAAACTTTGCTGAAGGGTCCGACCCGGATCGAGGTCGTGTACGGTTTTTAAAGTCTTCAGGGCGTCGAGTTTGGTCATCGCCGGAAAAATGGCCGGAAGGTAGTCGACGTGGTGGAGCGACACCAACGGAGCCACCGGATGCGCTGCCAAGAACCCATATTGGTTCCCTCGAATATCAACCTGGATTTGTAATACATAAATTTGAGACTAATCGTACTAATGGTTTTTTTTTTACGACTTTAGCTTACAAGTTTACAATTTATAGAGTTACAAATAACACACAAGTTTCTGCTCTAAACGAACAAGTTTAAGTAGGTTTAATAATATCTAATAGTCTAGCAGGTTTCTAAACCTTTTTTCAAAACCTTTTTTAATTCTTCAATTTCTGAATAAATCACTATCATAAATTATAATAAGATAGGTACAAATATATTTTATCCAGGTAATGGTTCATTCAGAAAAGAAAAATTAGATTTATCTAATGAGTATAGGTAAAATAGTTTATTGATATTGGATTATTTGATCAATGAAATGAATTGTCAGTCCCATCCTAACGAGATTCATTTGATAACAATTATAATTTGAGGATCAAATCATTGACCAATTGATGGTAATAGATACTTTCTCTATTAAGCTGCACTCAAATTGGTATACATCTCTTCCAATTTGGATTTAACCGATCATTGAATTTTTAAAAAATGTCTAATATATCAAAATCTATTAAACATGAAATAAATTGAAAAATTAAGAAACGACACAACTACTGTTTTACAAACTAACCTTATAATTTAACCGTTGTTTAATTGGTCAAATTGTAAATTTTGTTTTCTTGCTTTGATCATAATCTTGAGCTGGTAGTATATTTAATTTAGACTTGGTTTCAATTTATTTTTTATAGTCAAAACTTTTCTAGACATCTAGATTAAGTCTCACATCATTTGGAAACTAGCTAAAAAATCACCCTTTTTTTTCTTCTAGAACTCCAATGGAATCCGAAATTCATATTTGATTTCCCACCACAAAATTGTTGAAAGCTCAATAAAAGAAATAAAGTTTCGATTAATTAATATTGCTTAGCAGTAATTGAAATAGATGTTGTAAGTTTGATTATCCCATCTGATTTGATTAATTAAGTTGAGTTTTTGATGAGTAAGCCATAGTGAGAGTGGCCAAATGAAAACCTTTAGCTAGACCAAGTCAAATAAGCATGCATTTTAAATTCATCAAGAATTTCCCTATTTGTTAAAAAAAATTAGTTGTTGGAAAAGGAAAAGACACCCGAAGACTGACCTGATGAAACCCATGCTCGTTGGTCAAGGGGACACCAATTTCACTAACACAAGCCTGGACTTTCTGATCGCCGCCGTAGAGACTGTCGTACCGATCAACGCAACCATCCAAAATCCTCACCAGCTCCGCCGCCAACGGATAACTTATGGCATATCCGCCGCCGCCATACGCCGTAGCATACGAATGGATCAAATCCTGCTCCACGCTCTCGGAGTTGGACCCAATATAATACATCTGCGTGTGATCGTACTTCCCCAAAACGCTCACCAAATTCTCCACGAAAAACACCGTGTCGTCGTCTCCCATCACGAAC